TGATATTTTATTAAGTAGCTGAATGATGCAAGCTCCAATCTCCACAATTGTATCTTGTTGTTCTTTATCTTTGTCCTTTTACTTCTATCCAACATGAAAGCAACTGAACATTGATCCGTGATCAATGTGAATGGATGTCTAGCCAGAAGATGGCTCCATTTATGCACTGCTTCCATGATGGCCATTGCTTCCTTCTTGACTGCTGGGCAGTGCAATTCACTCCCATGTAGAGTTCTTGACATGAAAGCAACTGGATGTCTTCCCTGGTTCAAGACTGCTGACACCGCAACATCAGAAGCATCTCATTCCACCACAAACGGCAATTCCTTGTCAATTGACCTTAGAGTTATGCTGGCTAGTTCAGCCTTCAGGTTTTTGAATGCTGACAGGGCCCTTTGGGAGAGTGGAAAGGATCTAGAGTTGACCAGCGGATTAATCTTGTCTGAAAAATTTTCAATCCATTTTGCATATTAAGCAAACATACCCAGAGCTCTCTGCAAGGATGACTTGTTTTTTGGTGGTGGGAGCTCTTGAAGAGGACAAAGTATTTCCGAGTCTGGTTTAATGACTCAGTTTCCCATGCAATAACCAAGAATATTAACATTTGGCACTGATTTTATAGTTTTAGTTTCATTAAGCATCATATTTTGACGCTTGATTGCTTGCATAAATCGTTGCAGATTATAATTGTGTTCCGCTTGAGTTCTTCTGGCCACGGTAATGTTGTCAACATAAGGGAAGGTGCACTTTAGGTTTTCATCTTTGACCATCTTGTCCATTGCGCGCTGAAACACTGCCATGCCATTTGTCACACCGAATGGGATTCTGGAATATTGGTAAAGCCATCCATTTGCTTCAAATGCAGTAAACTTTTTGTCTTCATCACGAATCTTTATCTGATGATATGCGCTTTTAAGACAAAATGTTGAAAATACTTTGTAACCAGCAAGCTTGTTCACCATATCATAGATTCTAGGTAAAGGGAAATGCATCTAGTTCAGTATATTGGTTGATGGTCTGAGAATAGTCTATGCACATTCGTTTCTTATGCCGGTTCGTAGGGTCTCTAGCAACAACAATCTACGCCCTCCATGGAGAGGTGCTGGTCTCAATAATGCCCTCTTTGAGCAGGAGGGACACCTGCTTGGCAATAAATTCCTGGTCGTCCTTGCTAAAATGTCGGGATTTAGCAGCAATAGGCTTGCAATTAGGTGGCAAGTTAGGGAACAGATGCGGCTCTGGCACAGCGGCAGCCATAAGCACACAGCTCCTACTACTATTGTCAACAACCATTGGGGTTTTCTGCCTCCGTACACAAATGTAAGGCTCTTATGTTGCTGTTGGAAGTTCTGCCCCAATAAAATTTCACAACACAAATCATTCAAAATGCCCAGGTATGTACCTGGGTAGCGTTGTCCATCCAGAGTTATGTCAAGGTAGCAATATCCTAGCGACTTAACACTGTGATGTTGTGGTGAGCAGCCAGTTGCTCTATGCCTTCCTCACTCGGTTTAAGGCTTAGTTACGGTATGTTGGCTACGTTACGACTCTTTTATGTCATTTTACATGCCGCCTTGCAGTTTTCTGGGCGTGGTAAAAACCTCTTACTGGTCTCATGGCAAACCTATCTCCTCCTACAGTTTTCAAGCTACAGCAATGAGACATATACTATTCGATTCATAAAGACCATACCTATCAACTCTGTGATTTTCTATCATTTTTTTGTGAAAAATTCATATGAGCAAAATGTTATTGTTTTTACATTTTACGTATGTATGTGAAGTTTCATGATGATCGGATAATAACTGTAGAAGTTTTTCCGGAGGATAGACGGTCCCCTTAAATTAATTATCAAGCTGGTCCATGTTACCCCATCAGGGCTGACATTAGGTGGTCTAAGTTCCTCTATTGGGGGTGGCACCCCCCATTTACAAACTATGACACTTTCCTAAAATTTGTCATTTGCATATGTAACTAGAAGAGTTCTGCTACAATGCCTCAAAACCTGGAGTTATTTTATCAAAAAATAAAAAAATTGAAGGGGGTACTCCAACAGGCTTTAAATAATAGCTCTTTTTTGTGGGTCGCATTTTTAATTTTTTAACCCATTAGATATGCAAACTTTTTAAATCTTTCTATCGTGTTACGTAGCCTTAGTATTAGGCCTTTAATGCCCATTGACCAAATTTTTCTATGTCAAATAGTTTTTGAGTTTTGGGGGTTTTTGTTAAAAAAATGAAAAGTTGTTTTAAGTTATCCCGGGAGTCTAAGTTACCCCATTTTATGGTATGAAACAGGAAAACTAACATAATAAGAATATATTCATATGTGAAGGTTTTACATATAACAAAAATATATACAGAATACTTACAAGAACAGTAGGTAGTTGTAGGTCTTGAACATACAAAAGCCGAGTCAATGCTAACAAAGGTCACTAGTTCTAGAGCGAAGTAACTTACTTGTAGGAACTATAGCACAGAATACTAGGTACGTGTGGGCGCTACAACAGAAATTTCATGACAGTAAGGGTAGATTCAAACGAATAACCTAAAATTTAGTTATTTTTGAGATTTCATATTTAGAATACAGTATTAATGAATTTATATCACTTGTTTGCTTAAATCGCAAATTAACTAAGAATTTAAAAGCAAAGAAAAGTCCACAAAAATTCATATCTTTATAGAAAACGTTTCGGAGACCACGGTCTCTGTTTCGGTCTCCGAAACGAACGTTTCGGTCTTCGAAACGTTTTCTATAAAGATATAAATTTTTGTGGACTTTTCTTTGCTTTTAAATTCTTAGTAGAATAGAGTATTGTTGGGGGTCAGCCCCTCTAAAGGTCAATGGTCTGGCCGGTATAGTACCAGCACGTTAAGCCAAGCAGAACAAACTCAGGGGAAGAAATGGAGTAAAAACCAAGCAAAAATATATTAAAGAAACTCAATGGTATATGAAGATGAAAGGTTTAAGTTAGTCAGTAATGAGACAGCCCTGGGCTATGAGTGATGGGGTGAACCTTGCATGAGAACACAAATAACCAGCAGCCCAAACTGGATTGAACAGAGCAGAGTTAACAAGACTAACTGGTAATTAAACAAAACTGGGCCAGGATAATAATGAGTGAACTAAAAAATAGAATCAAAATAGCGAAAGAGAAATAGAATCTTGCGAATTGGTCCTGGGTCAGGCCTGGTTGTTTCCAACAGGCAATGTCTGTAATGCAGAGGAAGCAAGTTGGTAGTTGTCTTACTTGCAAGGAGTAGCGGGGGAGAGTAGACTCGATTGGCAGGGCACAGAAACAGTCTCCAGACTACACTGACTGGTATGGGAGAGGCCCTAGCCCTGGTCCCCAGCTCAGTACAGGATCCACTAACCCCAACCTGGTCTGGGAGACACTCCAAATTGGCCACTCTGCAAAAGTGCAGGAACAAGAACACTTAAAACCTACCCAACAATAAAACACTTGGAACACATTAGTAAACTTGAAACACATGAATATACATTGAACTACCTACTACTAAACTCCAGAACAATTTTACAGGATGATTGACAATATATACAAACATTTACTTATAAAATTTAGGACTGCAATGCATGGCAAGAGTGTTCCCTTGACTCACCTATAAAGAGCCGTGGTAATCTTGGGGTAGATTAGTGACAGATCAGCAGACAGTAAGTGACCAGAAAGCAGGTTTGTTTATTGCATGTCAATCAGCACAAAACAGTACTAGTAGCAGCTCAATATTACATTGCTTCACACAATACTAGTCAAACTCTTGGTGAGTGTGATTTTACACTAATATTAATTTATCTGGCTGTCACTCAAACATGGTATTCACACATTGGGACAATAGAAAGAGAGTATTAATACAAGACACTTATAATAATTAATAAATAGTTTATATACCAGCATGTGGCCCCTAACAGCATGCATAACTTTGCAAGCATCTAATCAATGTCAATCAAAGTACTAGAGCCAGTGGACAGACTATAAGTCATAATTTTCTCCAAGTTGGCCAAGATAACAAAATTTAATATTTCTTTAGCTTTTGATGATTGATTTAATATCTCTACTTGATCTCGTTTCCCTCGTCTCCTACTAAGAAAAACGAATGTGTGGTATGGCAGCTAGTGGATATAAAGTCCTGACTCATGAAAAGTCAGTGGGTCTGTGGGTGTGTCTGGGTCTGTGGGTGTGTCAGTGGGTCTGTTTCACCACACCTCAAATCTGAATCCAATATGAAGGAAATATCTGGCATCACTTTATTCCTTTAATTGCATTATCATAGGTCTGGAATGACTGCAGAACAAGTGGGGGGCCCTAGTAATATATACCATGTAAATTTGTAGTGGGTGTTTTTTTTGTACTAAATATTATCATGGGTTGGTTTTAGAGTCTGGGTCTATATATAGCTAAATAGCTAAGACTTTTACTTTCAGGGTGGAGTAAATCTTACAACGAGTGTTACATAGCAGCAGTTGTGCAAGCCACATGGGATAATGGCAAGCAACATAATGCAGTCTTGCTCATGTGATATATAGATGCTGACTCAGTGTCTAACATTCAATCAATCTCTTCCCTCTCTGGAGCATATTGCAGCTCTATCAGACTTCAAATCTTATAATATAATTAGAATGAATAAAGTGAGATGCCTGATGGACACCTGACATTTGAAATGATTTACTTTTGTTTGTACTAAAGGAAAAATCAGTTGGACTGTAAAGGTTGTAACAAGATTAGTTAGACCTGAAATATTGGTGCCACAGCCTGTATGTTCCATAAATTGATTACTTTTTAAATTGGTCAAGCTATAAATACAAATTCATGAATTGGATCATATTGTGTTTTTAGGGTTAAGAAAATATGAAAACGGTGATAGTATTTTTGAAAATTTTGAATTTAAGATATCTTCATTAATAGGAGGTTTTCACTGTGCAGAATTTTCTCATGTTTCTGGAAACTTCTTGCTTTATATTTTCCATGCTAATAAAATATTTTTTCTCATCTCCTAGAAAACTGCTATATTTTCATTTTCATGAGGAATGCTAACATCTTATCTGCCCGATGAAAGTATTTAATTTATATATTCGTGGATAGTTGAGCCAAATTTACATTGGACTGACTGATCAACAGTAACGAGAAATGGCTGATGAAGACATCGCAAAGGTTAGTGTTCAAGTAGTATATATTAAATGTTCAAGTAGTATGTATTACGGTATGTTGAATGTTAAAGTGTACATATTGTGTTTTTGATAAAGTGCATTTTCAATTTTGTAAGGTGTGCAAATAGCGTTCATTAGATGATAAATTCATGTAATTATTCTCATTTTTCATTTGTTCTGATACTTTGGTAAACATTCATACAGTGCCGGAAATGGCTATACGACCACCCAGTTTTCTCCAAATATTTTTTATTGCACAAAAAATTAAGGGATTCTAATTATACAAGGTTAAACTACGTTTGAAAACGGTTCCAACGCTATGCAAAAAAAATGATTTTCTCAAAATATATGAGAAGAAATTATGAAAATTAGAAAAACCTAGGTGGAAATGGTTATAAGACCAGGATAGGTTTTTCTCTGTTTTGGTATCTTTCTGTAACATTTTCACTTTGAAAAGTACAGCAATATAAAGAATATACCGTTAAGTGACCAGAAAGCAGGTTTGTTTATTGCATGTCAATCAGCACAAAACAGTACTAGTAGCAGCTCAATATTACATTGCTTCACACAATACTAGTCAAACTCTTGGTGAGTGTGATTTTACACTAATATTAATTTATCTGGCTGTCACTCAAACATGGTATTCACACATTGGGACAATAGAAAGAGAGTATTAATACAAGACACTTATAATAATTAATAAATAGTTTATATACCAGCATGTGGCCCCTAACAGCATGCATAACTTTGCAAGCATCTAATCAATGTCAATCAAAGTACTAGAGCCAGTGGACAGACTATAAGTCATAATTTTCTCCAAGTTGGCCAAGATAACAAAATTTAATATTTCTTTAGCTTTTGATGATTGATTTAATATCTCTACTTGATCTCGTTTCCCTCGTCTCCTACTAAGAAAAACGAATGTGTGGTATGGCAGCTAGTGGATATAAAGTCCTGACTCATGAAAAGTCAGTGGGTCTGTGGGTGTGTCTGGGTCTGTGGGTGTGTCAGTGGGTCTGTTTCACCACACCTCAAATCTGAATCCAATATGAAGGAAATATCTGGCATCACTTTATTCCTTTAATTGCATTATCATAGGTCTGGAATGACTGCAGAACAAGTGGGGGGCCCTAGTAATATATACCATGTAAATTTGTAGTGGGTGTTTTTTTTGTACTAAATATTATCATGGGTTGGTTTTAGAGTCTGGGTCTATATATAGCTAAATAGCTAAGACTTTTACTTTCAGGGTGGAGTAAATCTTACAACGAGTGTTACATAGCAGCAGTTGTGCAAGCCACATGGGATAATGGCAAGCAACATAATGCAGTCTTGCTCATGTGATATATAGATGCTGACTCAGTGTCTAACATTCAATCTCTTCCCTCCCTGGAGCATATTGCAGCTCTATCAGACTTCAAATCTTATAATATAATTAGAATGAATAAAGTGAGATGCCTGATGGACACCTGACATTTGAAATGATTTACTTTTGTTTGTACTAAAGGAAAAATCAGTTGGACTGTAAAGGTTGTAACAAGATTAGTTAGACCTGAAATATTGGTGCCACAGCCTGTATGTTCCATAAATTGATTACTTTTTAAATTGGTCAAGCTATAAATACAAATTCATGAATTGGATCATATTGTGTTTTTAGGGTTAGGAAAATATGAAAACGGTGATAGTATTTTTGAAAATTTTGAATTTAAGATATCTTCATTAATAGGAGGTTTTCACTGTGCAGAATTTTCTCATGTTTCTGGAAACTTCTTGCTTTATATTTTCCATGCTAATAAAATATTTTTTCTCATCTCCTAGAAAACTGCTATATTTTCATTTTCATGAGGAATGCTAACATCTTATCTGCCCGATGAAAGTATTTAATTTATATATTCGTGGATAGTTGAGCCAAATTTACATTGGACTGACTGATCAACAGTAACGAGAAATGGCTGATGAAGACATCGCAAAGGTTAGTGTTCAAGTAGTATATATTAAATGTTCAAGTAGTATGTATTACGGTATGTTGAATGTTAAAGTGTACATATTGTGTTTTTGATAAAGTGCATTTTCAATTTTGTAAGGTGTGCAAATAGCGTTCATTAGATGATAAATTCATGTAATTATTCTCATTTTTCATTTGTTCTGATACTTTGGTAAACATTCATACAGTGCCGGAAATGGCTATACGACCACCCAGTTTTCTCCAAATATTTTTTATTGCACAAAAAATTAAGGGATTCTAATTATACAAGGTTAAACTACGTTTGAAAACGGTTCCAACGCTATGCAAAAAAAAATGATTTTCTCAAAATATATGAGAAGAAATTATGAAAATTAGAAAAACCTAGGTGGAAATGGTTATAAGACCAGGATAGGTTTTTCTCTGTTTTGGTATCTTTCTGTAACATTTTCACTTTGAAAAGTACAGCAATATAAAGAATATACCGGTATTGATTTTCGTCATTTAGGGTCCCTCTGGTGTACTTCTGGTGTAGTTCAGTGTCCTCACTTATATTTTTTCGAAGTAAAAAATATGCCAAATGGGACAAGACTCACAGGCCGAGAAGGCGCAGTTTTCGGCTTTGTTAAATGCAGTAGAAGCCAACGGGACATCGCAATGGGAATAAAATGCTCAAAACCCATAGCACAATCATTTTTTGCTAATCCGGACGGCTACGGGTGAAAAAAGCACACTGGACCAACCCCAAAATTAACCGACAGGGATCTTAGGAGACTGTTTTCTGAGACTTCTAAAATTTGCGCTACCTGTACCTCTATAAAATTGGCCACTGGAGTTGATGTAGCAGCACGACGTATCCGTTAGACATTGCATGACTCGAAGAAATTCAAATACATGACGAGGAAAAAATGCCCCTGTGCTCCAACAAAAGCATGTTATCAACCAACAAAAATTTGCTGAAAAATATTTACTTATTGGTAAGGGATGGCACATGATTACCTTCAGTGATGAAAAAAGTTCAATCTTTATGATCCAGATGGATGGCAATGCTATTGGCGCCACGGGACCGTGAGCCTGAATCTTTTTTCAAGCAGCAATCTGGTGTTGGTTCGGTCATGGTTTTTTAGGGCGCTTAGCTGAAAGGGAAAATTAACTCTAGCTATTTTACATGGGAGACAAGATTCCGAGGCTTACAAGCAAACGCTGTTTTACCAACTTCTCCCTTTTGCCGATGAGAAACATGAGCGAACATATTTTTTCCAACAAGACAATGCTTCGATTCACACCTCAAAATCGGCAAACATGTGGTTCCTAGAACAGAATATTACTCTGTTGCTGTGGCCGGCGCTTAGTTCTGACCTCAACCCCATTGAAAACTTATGGGGCATCATGGCGAGGGATGTTTACCAAAATGATCGCCAGTTTCAATCTGTGAGTGACTTGAGCATGGCTGTCCTTCGTTTTTGGGATAAAATTTCTCAAAAGACACTGGATTATATGGTAAATAGAGTGGGGAGACAATGCTTTGAGGTAATTATGGCAAAAGGAGGTGAGATTGCCTATTAAAATGAGTGTATGTGATCCACAAACAGAAAAACCTATCTTGGTCTTATAACCATTTCAACCTAGGTTTTTCTACTTTTCATAATTTCTTCTAATATATTTTGAGAAAATTATTTTTTTCGCATAGCGTTGGAACCATTTTTAAACGTAGTTTAAGCTCGTATAATTAGAATCCCATAATTTTTTGTGCAAGAAAAAATATTTAGAGAAAACTGGGTGGTCGTATAGCCATTTCCGGCACTGTATACCAAATGATTCGGCAAATGTCTAAACTATACAAAAGCTTGCAAGATCGCTGCATTGTTGATTAAGTGCACTCCATGAGCTAATTATGTTTTTAATTGAAGCTAATTATGTAAAACATTTGAATAAAATAGTTATTACAAGTCAGGAGTTGACCACTCTGCCTTGATTTTTGCTTAGATTTTATTGTTTTTTCTACAGATGGAAGCCATGTATCTGCCTTCAACAAAAGGCATAAACATGGCAACATTGGAGAAGCTTCTTGTCAAAGGAGCCAAAGATATCAAGAAGCAAACATTTGTTGCCCCAGTACTGAAAATGGATGAAGAGGGAAAGTCGTATTTTCTTGTCAAGTGAGTGAAATGTTCAGTTTTTTGTGTTAGTTGCTGATTTGCAATCCATTGCCATCAGGAGGTTGAAAAAGTGTCTTAGTTTTTAGTGTAATTTGAATTTTAGGACAAACTGTTTCAGATTTTGCTTGGTGTCTTGCATAAAAGTTGTATCATTTTTGTTAGTTGGTAGAATTTGAAAAGGATCATCAATGAGGTTTGATTCATGCCATAGGGAAATAGAATGTCAACAAAAAAAGATGACTTATTTTAATTTAAATTTGCAGAAATATCTGGTAAATTTCAAACTGTTTACACTATTTAAACTAAGCCTAGCATTCTTTGTTTAGTTGTTTTTTAAATTTATTTTCCAATCCCAGGAAAATTAGGATTGAATTGGTCATCACTTGTTTCCTGAACTGTTCACCATCAAGCAGATCATGAACTTGTTGGAAATGTTCAATAGATCTTAGCCGGCATATTGATAACATTGTTAACAATATTCCAATATCTTGATATGCATTGTTAACAGTTAGCATATATATATACTTATATGTCAACAGTTTAAAATAAATTCCTTCATAAAGAAAGCCTTAGTTTTGCTCTTTCTGCATCACCAGACATGCATGCATTTTTAGGACTTGATTTTACTTCAATGATCAGAAGATATTTCTTAATAATTTGTTTCCTTTCTAGATCTCGTTCCACAGAGAGGTTTGAAACAGCTAAAAAACTGGTTATTGCCTTAGTGCATAGAGTATTGACTGAGCTCCGTGCTGACAATGCAAAGCCATCTACTGAGTCAGCACCATCCAAGCATGTGGCCCACAAGGATAAACAGGCCAAATTGAAGTCATGTTTACCTGAGAAGCGGCATCACCAGTATCCCAAAGATAGCCCCTGCCATGACCGCCGTGCTTCAATTGATTCCTCTTCAAAGCCTTATGATAGAAACAAAAGTGATCGAGAAACTTCTCACAAGAGAATTAATAAATCTAGTGTGCAAGTCCATGATGATTTGGGCCATGCTTTGCCAACAAGCTTTGGCCGTCACTCAAGCAATGCTCAAACTCATAGGCAAGATAAACATTTAAGCTCTGGACATGTCAGTCAGAAAGAGACTCGTAGGCATAAGCATGATTATGATCAAAAACCAAGTTCCAGCCGCAGTGTTTCTTACAACAAATATGGCCATCATTCAAAGCAGCCCGACTCTACAGTGTATAAGAAAATAATCACAGGAAACAGCAAATCCCTTTCATATAGTTCAGAGGTATCCAAAGATGGTTCTAAAGTACTCAAACCCATGCCTGAAAAAAGCTCTTCTGAATCTCAAGAACCTCGGTTTGGGTATTTGTACCACTATGCAGCTCATCCATCTAGTGATGTTTTCACACATACATTTGCTTTGGAATGTTCACGTTATAATTCACATTACACCAACCTAGACCACCTTGCTTCCATCATGTCTGCTGGAATGGAGGTGGGTTTATTTTTAAGCATATTCCTCTTCAGTAACATAGCTTGTGCTAAGGTACCGTATGTATAATATTATTTCTAATTGCATTTATTGTTGAAAAATCTTGAAAATTTAAATGTATTAATTTATATCTTGATCATACTATTAAATGTGCAGAATTAGATATAATTAGTATAGGTTGGCAGAATTTCTTCTTTCACGCAGGTTTCATTGAAGACCAGAGAATTTGTTTTATTCGCAATTTTCTTATTAGTTTTTTCAATATATCGAACAATATTTTTAGTTTGAACTGGCAAATCAAAAATCAGGTTACCGATGGACATTTTTATTTCGTTAACGACGTTTCGAATGTTTCTATCATTCATTATCAAGTTAAAAGGCGCATTGAGTGATGAAATTAGCGTCGACATAAGTACAAAGTCAAGTAAATAGGATACTACTCAAAAATCAAAATTGTTAGGAATAATTACAAAATCACAAAATAATTTAGAATCAAAGCACCGAAAATCACTCCGAAAATCACTACAAAAACAAGAAAATGCAGAATCTTGTGATGAACAATAACCCCTGCAAAAAAACGGGAGTTTTCCAAGAGACCAATGTAGTTTATAAATTTTCTTGCAATAGAGAAGGTTGTTGACTTCTCCCCAATATGGACTACATTGGGCTCACAACTACGACATTAAGCCGACGTCTCACGTGCCACCTTCAGTCTGGTGGACCAAAGAACCACCTGATGGAAGCCCACAACGAGACCATCACTCGTACGGTGCTGGAAGAATGCACCAGCATCGTCATGAGATGCCCCGACGCCAACCGACTCATGATAGCTGAGGCCCTCATCATTAGGGATAGGACCCCAGCCATCAACCTTCAAACTACTGGATTTGTCAGAACCTTGAGACTGTTTTCGGAGTGATTTTCGGTGCTTTGATTCTAAATTATTTTGTGATTTTGTAATTATTCCTAACAATTTTGATTTTTGAGTAGTACCGGTATCCTATTTACTTAACTTTTTACTTATGTCAACGCTAATTTCATCACTCAATGCGCCTTTTAACTTGATAATGAATGATAGAAACATTCGAAACGTCGTTAACGAAATAAAAATGTCCATCGGTAACCTGATTTTTGATTTGCCAGTTCAAACTAAAAATATTGTTTGATATATTGAAAAAACTAATAAGAAAATTGCAAATAAAACAAATTCTCTGGTCTCCAATGAAACCTGCTTAATTAGATATAAGTACCTATAAGAATATTAAAATATAAGAATTGATTCATCTTATTTCGTTGTTGCCTAAATTCGAATGATCTCAATTTCCAGAGTACCAATAGAAGAAGTTTTAGGCAGTTGTTAAGCAAAGCACTTTATTTAAAAAAATTCCTTCTCTCTACATGCTAGTGAAATTGCATTGCATCATTAAAATTCTACTGTGATGTTCACTGAAGCTCCTGGCTTGGTGTGGAAGAGCGGTCATGAACAGAAATTCCAGAAGGAACAAATTGAAATTGAATCTAAAGGAAATATTTCACTGACAATAAAAGCATTTCATGTGTGTACTATTCTTGATGAAATATTGTTTATTAACAATACTCCATAGTTGTTAGCAGGACTCCATGAAATGCAATTAACTTTTTTTGGTTGCAACTTCCATTTTAATTCAAATATCCAGGAAGTTTGTCCTGATAATTTAATTGGAAAAATAAATGTTTGTGTATGATTACATGTGGTATTACCTTTTCCTTCAATTAAGGCATCAATACTCTAAAAGTTCTTCATTATTGCCTGATTTAAAAGACAGAGGAGATTTAGAAGACACCATCTGACAAGAGGTTTTAAGTTTTTTTGGAGTTTTTCGAAAATTATTGGCCTTATTTGTTAATCTTATATCATAATAATAATTTTCTTTTAGGTAACTTTGTTTTTGAGAATATATACAATTCCTAATTTATGAGTAAGTGACAACATGAAACTGTTTTAATAACGCTCCTCTTTCAACAGTGTGAATTTGAATTTGTAACAGAGCATTTGCACATTTAATACAAGCTACTTGGCAAAGAACCTGCTAAAATATATATATATATATGTACATATACCTATATATTTTGCTTATTACTAAATTTTATGAGTTGAAATAATAAAATATAACAAAGTCTTAGATGTCTATATTTGTCCAGTAGAAAAAAAACCTTGAGCAGGGATTGCTGGTACAGAAAAAATACTGGAATGCATTTAATAACAACTTTACAAATTTTAATGAGCAAATCCATCCTCCATTGTGAAGACTTGTTAAATCTTACAGAGGATGAAGCATGTGTAGAATTTTCTCATTATTTTACATAAGCCAACCCATGGATGTTTGACCTGTAGTAATTCACGTCAATCAAGCCTTCTCAAATGCATTAGACATCAACTGCCATTAGATCTCTGAATATAATGTTTCAGATGCTTTGGAGTAAATTTCTCTTAGAAGTAGCTATAACTATTAGTACTACCTATCCATAGAAATTCAAAATTTTACAAATATTTGTCTGACCTCTAAAGGGTTAACTTTTTTTGTGGCTTTGCCGCGCATTGTGTGGATTTACTTTTTTATCTTATACCGGTATCACTATGCATATACCATATAATGCATATTCTGTAGACTTTTTACTTCATATTAATGCATGAATCTATGGGCAGGGTTCTCTTATCTTTATCCATGGGATGGAGAAGAGCACAACACTGCAACACCTACGTGACAGCATGGGCTTGCGCTTTGGGCTTGGCAAAGCCTCACAATTATCCTATGTTGCTTTTTCATCTGATGATGGTCTTGCTGTTGTCAAGCTTCCATTTGCTCCTGGGACAAAATTTTTCAAGTTTAAGATGATGGTGAGTGAAGAATAAATTTTCAATTGAAATTTGAAGTGTAATGCCCACCAAATCACTGGAAATATTATGTATGATTTTACATAGAACCCTGTGTGTAACTTGTCTGTCTACTTGCACCCAGATACACATTTACAGAGTATGTTGCTAATATTTTATATAATTACCTTATTTTATTTTTTCTCCCATTTAACTATTTTCCTCCTATTATTGCAGATAAATAATGTCAAGTGCCCATTAATTAGCTTCAGTGACCTCAAAAGTTCACCTGACGATCACATGCTGCGTTGCAAATTCGCATCACTGCTGTTCTCTCAAAAAATTCCTAAGCGCCCCTCAGGAGTGTTCCCGCAAGGTGTCCAACCCCGTCGCACAGTCATAGTTGCCGACTCAGCTGCTCCTCATGTTGATTTGAATGTCCTCAAGACTTGGCAAACTATTGGCCTTGTGCACAATGAACATATGGACCTGTCTGGCTTCCATGACGCAATTAAAAACTTCAAGCGCTTTAATAATGACAACAACCTCTTTATAGTCATTCCTTGGCTTAAGTTTCTACTTGGCAATGTTTTGATTAGCCAAACAGGCTTTGATGCTGCTTCTGAAAACGAGTCATTTACTAATGTCACAGATGCAGAATTAGATGAATTTGTCAAGTCATTCAGCACTGAGTCTGAATTTCAACACAACCCTGTCATCCTGACTCACTATGAGAGTTTTCCTGTGCCTTTAAGTAAAACAACTTCAGATGTTTGCAAGACAAGCGAGTTTTTTGCCCGTCAGTCTATCAACTTTGCTCATTACCTGAGGACAGCCATTACCAGCCGCTGCTTGAACACAGAAGTTGTTTTCTGCAGCTTCCCTCTGAAAGGACTCACAACAGCTAATGTTTACAAGCATTTGTGTCAAGTGGTAAGTTGGAGGTATCTTGTAGTTGGAGCATCTTTTACACATTCTGTTTATAATGTTGTTTCCATAAGTTACTGAAATATATTGAGACTATGATAGCAGTAGTTTACTGTTTATCTGCATATGCATAAAGTGAATACAATTCCTATCATCCTTAGAACTGTTAGAGTCAAAATGTGAGCAGATGACTTTGTTTTATCAGATGGCGCCCAGCTATGCTTCAAAGTTGTGTTTGGCACTCATGACTTCCATGCGCTGCTTTAACAAGTTTGCTGAGAGCACATGGAAACTTGGGGGTTTATCATTCACTGATGTGGAGGAGACTTCATTTAATCCTTCAAATTTGCCACGAAACGATGAAGGAAAACAAATTCCGCAGCTATTCAAAGAACAAACAGTTTCAGGTGGCAGCCAAGTTGATCACGTCACCATGAACAAATGTGGTTCATTCTATCTTGATGACCTGTGTCATTTAGACTGGCTAAGAAATGACAAAGACAATCACTCTGTTGTAGACAATGAAAATACTTCACTTCTAACCTTTGTAGTGGACAATGCGGGCAAAAATGCATGTTCCACTAATGAAGCTACAACTCCTGATGCATTTCAAGTCCCAAGAAGTGTCAAGTCTATTTGTGTCAAAGGTCGTGATGGAAAAACTACAGCAGTTAATTCCTTAGGATTTGCAGATGATACCAGTAATCTAAGTCAAAAAATGCCAGCAACCAAGCAAAGTATTTCCTCAGTTGATTATGCTATGAACGCTGATCAGAATGTCATCAAGAGTTCAACTGAAACAATGGAAAAAAATTCCTGCAAAGATGCTGAAGTCCCAGAAAGTATGTTTGTTGATGCAGACATGGTGAAAACAGGTGTTGATGATGCCAAAATGGAGAAAACGGCCCCTATCAGTGCAGCTGTTGATGCAGATATGAAGAAAGCTGCTGTTCTTGATGCAGATAAGGAGAAAACTGCTGTTGTTTATGCTGATAAAGAGAAAATTGCTGTTGATAATGCAGATCAAGAGAAAACTGTTGTTGATAATGTAGATAAGGAGAAAACTGTTGTTGATGACGCAGTCATTGACATTTGCAGTGATGAAGAAAATGATGCTGATGTCGGTGACACTTCAGAACCTGCACGAACAAAGGTAGTCATGACCACAACACGCATTAGCTTTAAGAATGTCTAGTTCAGTTGATGGTTACATTATTTTGTCTGAATATTTCTTTAAGAAATGCTTGAACATAGCATAATATTTTTATTTAATATAGAGATTATCAATTATGTCCGATTCATGATAGTCTATAGATTGTACATGGTGAGCCATGTTTAGGTGCAAGTTTTATCAAAACATTGGAAGACATTCCTTCAAATGGAAATGAAACTTAATGTGTTGAAAAATTTTGTTATAACAAAAAATTAATTCTCATACTTATTAAAACTTCAAATAAGTCAAGAATAAAAACACAAGTACTACCTCTTGTGGTCAGGTTTTGTTGTTTAACTTGAACTGTATCTCTCTGAAGGAGTGAATAATGATTCATGTGTTCATATTCATATCATTGGGTGTATAAATAATATTGTAAAAAATATGGCTAACCTGCAAAATATGGCATAGGAGTAAATAGAGAAAAATTTTAGTCTAATTCTTATAAAGCTGATGATTTCAGGTTTTGGATTTACTCGTGCCTGTATTTTTTAATATTTTTGCTGAGATATAAAAAAATTGACAAATTTGATGTAATTTCTTGAAAGAATTACAGATAATAATTTCATAAGTCTCTGTGAAGCAGGCTGAGGGCCCTGCTGTTGGTGGGAGGCTGCTGGCTGAAGCTTTTGCGTCAGTCCTCAGGACTTCCCTTGTGGCCTTGAACAGCGTCAGGAAGCGCACGGTTTGTGGGCATTTCTCTTCTCTCATTAATTACTCGTGCATTTATGTTTGTATGTAACTCCAGTTATGTTTGAGTGAACTTTTTGCTACTTTTCTAGATAATAAATTAAAATTTTCTAGTAAGTTGCGTTCATGTAATTTTTTATCCTTGCTATTTCTGCCCTTTGTCCTCGGACAGTAACTGAACTTGCTGGCCTTGAGACAGAAATAGCCTTAATAATGGCTAATTTATACTTAGGTATTATTGTAATTATCAATATACCTACCATTATGCTTATTGTGTTGGCTGAAGAGGTTGAAAACTTTTATATTGGTTAACTACTGAACATAAGCTAAATAGCACCAGATGCTCCTGCTTCCTCTCGAGCACTGCCATACAAGCCGTCCTTATGCAACATGTCTACGGCTTGTATGGCATTATTTTGTGATCGTTTATCTTCTACATTATTTTGTGATCGTAATGTCATCTATTGCAGGTTAGGTGTTTATTTGCAATGTCTATTGTACACTGAGTTTATTATTGCCTTTTAGCTATGAGTAAAAGAATGCACATCATCACTATACTAGTTGCTGAATATTGATATTATTGTGAGATACTGAAGACCTTCTGGTTTTTAAGTTGCTGCTGTCAGCATAGTATCTAAATTCTTATTTGTTTGTTTTGATTTCTTCAACTATTGAAGCAAAACCCAATATGTTTGTTGCCTTCAGGGCTTCATTCTACCATGGACTCGGCCGGAAAATAGCTCTATCAAGTTGAAGAAGTTGCCCGAAGTTGTGACCCATAGCGTTGAGCTCTGCATCTACCATGTAGAGCTAAACAAAGAGGAACATAAGGTATGTGTTACACTAACTTTATTGTACCAAGTTCTTCGTTACTCTTGGCTAATTAGCATCTGCCTTTTTAAGCTTGGCTAGAAACGCAAGTTTACTTTAATGGCACCATCATGGCACCGACTCCTTCATTATTTTAACCATTTTGAATTCTAGAAATTCCAGCCACACCATACATGTGTGAGAATAATTATATAATAATTAATTTGAACTTTCTATGTTTACATTGACCTCTAAAACGAGCGTCTACCCTAAATTTTATCTCAGTAATTTACAGAGGGATCAACTTGAAATTTGGTACATATATGTAAACCCTAAAATACTCAGGTTTTATTCGTGTCAATTTTTTGAAAAAAATTAAAAGAAAACGTGAAATTCATAGAAAACGGCCAAAAAGGGATACTTTAGAAAACCTATCTCCTCCTAGGATTTTCAAGCTACAACATCGAGACACATATCATTCAATGCGCAAAGACCATATCTACAAACTGGTCTTGGGGGGTTTTTTGCATTTCTCATTTTTGTGGGTGTGGGAGCATTTTGTCCGAAATTTTTCAAAATTTTCGATTTTACCTCCACTTTCCCCCCCTTTTTTGCAAAATAAAATCCGAACTACAACGAACTTGGAAAAAAGGCTAAGACCAGTTTGTAGATCTTTTCTTTGCAAATCGAACGGTATATGTCTCATTGATGTAGCTTCAAAACTCGAGGAGGTGACAATAAGTGTGAATGTTGAGGAGAGCGCGACAAAGTCCCGCGCGCACCACAATATGCGCTCAATGTAGCATAGATACCAAACTAAACGTTTCTGGAGCTTGATTCCACTCAAGGATGATGGGAGCAACTACATGCGCACTTCTCCGTACAACGCCTGGAGGCACACTGAGTCAGACCTCTTAAGGCCCGTTCACACTAGGGGCAAAACACGAGAGTCAAGTGCCTCAAAGCGCATGCAGAGGCGCTTTGCAGCCTCTGCATGCGCTTCTTGACCAATTGACGAGCTAGCGATTGACAGGGGCCATGCCTCATGAAACACAAGCGCGGCACTTAGTAGATAGCTAGTAAAGAATTGATATCACTTGTATGCTTAAATCGCAAATTAACTAAGAATTTAAATTGAATTAAAAATTTGAATCAAATTAAAAATCTAAATTAATTAAAGAAATTCAATTCGTTCTATGGTTTCAATGTATTAATTTATGATTCTAGATTCTACGAATTGACTATGGAGCTGGTCTCCGAAACGTTTTCTATAAAGATATGAATTTTTGTGGACTATTAACCCGAGAACAATGGCCCACAGCTCAAATTCGGTGACATCCATCCTCATTGACGTCTAGGAGGCAACTAGTGTTCAAAGCGCGCGGTCTCAAACTACCGAGTACAAAAGTAGTGTGAACGGTTGTGCGCGGTGAGGCACTGCAGCAAACTACTCAAAGCGCATGTCGTTGCCACTAGTGTAAACGGGCCTATAGAAACACTGTATTTGTAGTACTGGGGCAGCGAATTAGCTCCTATGTAATTACTGAAAGAACTCCCCCCCGCCCCCCTTTCATGAAGTGTCGTGAAAGTATAAATCAACGTACAGAGATGGTAATGGTACCGTTGGATTTACCAGAATGTCAGCTTTAAGATGAGACTAAACACGTAACTGCAGCACAACTCAAGTAGACACTATATTTAAAGAGCTCAGCAGCTAATTAGTTCCTATCTAATTACTTAAAGAACTCTCCACCCGCCCCCCTTTCATGAAATGTCGTGAAATCATAAATCAACGTACAGAGATGGCAGTGGTACCGTTGGATAGGGCAGAATGTCAGCTTTAAAATGAGTATAAAAACCGAAAAGTGGAAATTTTTCAATTTTAGGGTAGACGCTCCCCTTAAGAGTCTCCCGACATAGACTTATAAAGTATTGAAATTCTCATTCTCGGCGCACAATAACGAGACTTGAACCAACAGTATACGTGCGCGCTGTGTCCGGAGTGTTCAGGAGACGTGGTGTGGGCAGAGCAACATGTCTACCACGAGCCTCACGTCATGGCAGTCACGGCGTCCTGCTACCTGCCTCCTCCATCCTTCTCCCTCCTGGTCGCTGGTAGCTCCTCTGCTACCAACACTTACGGCCTCTCTAAAGGTTCTTCTTTTGCTGCTAAATGTTCTTAGCATTCAAGTGCTTATGTTGCTAAATGTTCTTAGCATTCAAGTGCTTATGTTGCTAAATGTTCTTAGCATTCAAGTGCTTATGCTGCTAAATGTTCTTAGCATTCAAGTGCTTACATTCTTGGCCTGTTTACATCACAACTTCATCAAGAATATAAAAGCAAAGAAAACGCCAAATAAATTGACCATATCTTCAATACGGTGATATTTAGTTAGCATTTTATTTGCGTTTAAATATTTGTTTGTGGCGTTACGTTGTGTTCATGTAGTTAGTTTCTTAGGAATTTCCCATGTATGGGCTTCATCCTTTTTTCGCTGTATTTTCATAGTTTTTTTTAGAAAAAGACTACTTACCTATGTCAAAGTTTAGTCTCCTGCATTAAAATACAAAATAATTCTCAGAGCTTGGGAGTTTAAAATGTATAAAATGGAACGCTAATAAAATATTACTCTCACTTATATTCTAGGGGTCGATTGTACTATCTAATCTTGCTTCTCAAGTACACTTAGCGTCCTAAGTTACCTTAAGTACACATAGCGTCCTAAGTTACCTTAAGTACTCTTAGCGTCCTAAGTTACCCTAAGTACACTTAGCGTCCTAAGTTACCCTAAGTACACTTAGCGTCCTAAGTTACCCTAAGTACACTTAGCGTCCTAAGTTACCTTAAGTATGGTACACTTAGCGTCCTAAGTTACCTTAAGTACACTTAGCGTCCTATGTTACCCTAAATACTCTTAGCGTTCTAAGTTACCCTAAGTACACTTGCCTGTGTTTGGTGGTTTAGCTTGAAAAGTCATCAGTGATTGGCTGACGGATTTACGAACTTGTAATTTTTTCTGCTATTTTATTGAATAATATTGATATTCATTGATTGATGTTTTCTATATTGATGCTTTGATAATTATTTATTTGACTATTACGGCCGATAACAACTGTAAAATCTGCCTTCTATAGGCAGTTTCGTTGGCAGACATTGCTCCTCTCTGAACGTCATTGACTGAACAATATCTCGTCTCTGAACCTGGCTTTGTTGCTTAACCTCAACTTGTAGAAATTGTTCGTATCTAAATTTGTCCTCATCGCCAGACTTCCTGATGAACTGTGAGCGCGCTTGTGTGATCGAGCGCACGGCGCGCAGGAGCTTCCGCTGCGCACCGTGCGGGGTGGTGCTGTCAGCACAAGCGCTGCGCTTCCACGTGCACACAACCTGCCACACGCAGCAGCTCTGCCGCTGGCTGGGGCTATACAACCCTCTTGCTGTTGCTGCCTTCGCCCCCAACTGGACTGCTGTTAAGAGGTGCTTGTTGTTCTTAGTAGTGCTTTCAAGAACTTCTTATTGTTTGTTCATGTACTAATTAGTAACTTCTTATTTTCACGTCTACAGCAAACTTGTCATCGCTGCCTTTGTCCACAACTGGACTGTTGTTCAGAGGCGCTTGTCATTTGTTCTTATTACTGCTTTCAAGATCTCCTTGTAGTTTGTTCATATATTTAGTAACTTCTAATTTTAATGTCTACTACAAACTTGCCATCGCTGTCTTCGCCCCCAACTGGACTGCTGTTAAGAGGTGCTTCTTGTTCTTAGTAGTGTTTTCAAGAACTCCTTGTTGTTTGTTCATGTACTAATTAGTAACTTCCAATTTTAATATCTACTACAAACTTGCCATCGCTGCCTTTGTCCACAACTGGAGCGTCGTTAAGAGGCACTGGCCTCTGGTTTTTCATTGGCTATTTCTATGTTCAAAGAACTCGTGTAATTTGTACATAAAATTAGCTCAGAAATAAGCACTTTGTACATAAAATTAGTGATATCTTATTTTTACCGTAAGTTGTTTTACTGCCTTTCTTCCAGCTAAAGTTTCGTTCTTCATAAATTTCATTTTAGAAATCATAAGTCATTTGAAAGCACAGCGTTTGTAATTTTGTTGATTTACTGCATTTCTACTGTTTTTACAGATTTATCGAACTTACTAATGCTTTCCAATTTTGATTTTGTTTATCTGAATTCTCATCGAATGAGGCTTGTGACCTACTGGCAATAAATGAATTTGTCTTAAGTGAAGTTTTGTTAAAAGGTCCTTGTAAAAGGTCCCAGCGCTCTTAACATTAATGTCAACTTTCACTGTTTACATAAACAACCTTTTCGTTAATGCCCGTTAATGCATTCACATCAGGCAATAAATTGCACTATAACCAGTTTTAATTGAATTGGAAATTTAAAAATGTATATATGCATAACAGCCTCTGTCTTCAACTAAAGTTTGAAGACAGAGGCTGATACTCTGAAAGTTTCATAATGTTCAAAAATACATAGGTATATGCACTTGCAGTTATTTTCGATTGGTATCGTAAATTACTTATTTATGTGGCTATGTTTGTGGAATGAGATTAAATTTGTTATGATATTGGAACTTGGAGCGAGACGATGTCGCCGACAGTATTATAGATTTTTAGTTGCATCAGTTATGAAGGAATTAGTATTGAAATACACTGAGCTGGTTATCAGCAGCTCAAAAAAGTGTAAAATTAATGTATTAACCCTAATGCGTCTATATAATGCAAGAAATACATATAATGATCTAATTTCTATAAAATAAGGATTCTCTGTTTGTAATGCGTTTATTTTTCTTGCAGGCTGTACCGGCAGCCTTCCTTTGACCTCGTGGTGCTGCTTGCCGACGACATTCTGCTGCCCCTGCTGAAGCCTTACACACGCATGAGTCATGTTAGTGAATATTGTGATGATATGATGAGCTGGTGATGATATGATGAGTTCACCTGTAATGCGCACAGCTTGGGGTGCTGTCCGTTTCTATTGTGAAACATTCATAATTATTTATTTACAAGGAACTTTTCTTGATGCTGTAATGTTTCACCGTAATTCAACTTTCTCGTAGATGCAACGGGAGAATTTACACGTTTTTGTCTACAAATTCTTACAGTAACTTGATGTTCGTTCTGGTATGTAAGTGATTGTTTAGCAACACGAGAGTTTAGATTCTTGTTCTATCAGTTTGAATTTAATTTTAAGTGGGATTAAAAATCATAGCCGAGCCCTATCGCATTTATATAATTTTACTCTTTAAAATAAATTTGTAATAAAAAGTTTTTTAGTGGCCAGTACAATTGATTTTAGGTGTGAAAAACGCCTGTTTTACTATCGGACTCTGAAATTTCTCTCTTATTCGTTTTGCATCCTTCATATTGAAAATAAGTTTATCTTAAGTGCAGCTTGTTATTAACTTGCCGTGCTCACTCAGGTGTTGGTCTACACAGCGCCGCGACTCGTTGACAATAAGGAAGGCCAGGCTGAAATTCTGAGACGGTGGCGCGCCGACATCGTTCGTCTCTTGCCCAACGTCAACGACCCTAAAGCTTTGTGGATAATTCTTCCTGGTTTTGATCTTTTGCTCAGCGAGAAAGTTACTTCTAACCCATTTTCTGCGTTCCCTGGAAATGAGACTCCAACACAAATATGTAGTGCAATACCTACCGAAGTGTCTGCTAGTCGCAGTGTTCCTGAGTCAACTAACTCTGTGTTGGTGTCTACTGCATCGACTTTGTCATCTAGTGAAGATGTTGGCTCGGGAAGAGAATCGAACTTCTCAACAGAATTACAAAGCTGCCCCACCCTTAACAGTACGTCAACAGCTGCCGTGACCGCCGACGCAAATGGCTATCTTCAAGATCCCGATGGTGTCTCACCAGCCACTGCTTTGCAAACTATTGAAGATAAATATCTTCCGTGTGCTGAACCTCAAGATGCTGTCCAACAGCAGTCTACAAATTTAGATTTAGATGCAATTTCCAGTGATGAAGCCAACGATGAAGCGTTGTCACCTCAACATGAAGCATCTGAAAGTGCCTCAGAACACATTCTGCGCGCCGAAAAATCTGTACAGGACACTGAACCTGTCGGCAAATTTTCGGGTGCTGGGAACGGGGTTGAAGATGCAGGTGCCTTACCCCCAGCATCAGAGGTATTGGGCTCGGCACGACCTCTTGAAGATCTGGAGCCTGTAACTCTGCAGGCAGAAGATGACGTCGCAGGAAACGAAGATATAGACGCCTCAGATAACCCAGAGTTTAGTTCCACAACTTGTCCATCTACGATAAATGTAGAAGACATTATGGCGAGTGCGAGCATCGACGTGGAGAATATCCAGACTGAGACTGTGAGGGAATTGTTTAGATCCAGAACTCCATACACGGTGCTGAACAAGAAATGTTGCGATGCTCCTCTTCTTTTCATTAATGAGCATCTTGATCTTCATCCCGACCAGGCTCTCGACATGGTGAGTTGCAGCTTAAACTTGTTCACCTTCAACCCTGGCGTTAGTTGTGGAGATTGCAATGCACACTTGCACTATTGACTGCACCACTATACCTACTGCACCACTATACCTACTGCACCACTATACCTACTGCACCACTATACCTACTGCACCACTATACCTACTGCACAGCCACTAACCGCTCTTTCCACTATGCCACTGACAACTCTTTCTACATCTTTCTCAGCCCATTACACCACGCCTGAGTTCATTACACCACGTCTGAGTTCATTACACCACGTCTGAGTTCATTACACCACTACTTATGTATTATAACGCTACCGTACATAACAATAATGCACTCCCACTCTACATACATCACCACTAATGGTTGGGATACCTGGCTATAACCCAGGAGGCCCTTATCTCTTTGCATGACATGATAATTTTAAAGCGATAAACCCGCATGGTCGTGTGCGTTGACGCCCAGAAATCGTCACTGTAAAATCCTGACGTTAGTTTGTTTTTTGCAGGCAAGTTACGCCGTGAACGACTTGCGCTCATTCTTGCGTGTGGAGCTGGACGTGCGGCACAGCGTGGTGACGATGCCGGTGCCGCCCCTGCAGCTCCTGACCAACGCCCTGCCTGAGTCTTGGCGGCAGGCGCTGTCATGCCTCCACCAAACCGTCGTCGTCAACACTGGCATCTTAAATGATCAACACATAAATTCAGTACCTGAACCTCATCGAGAAAACACAAATGAAGATGATGGAAACCTTGACAGCGATCGTGACAAGCCTACAGTAGAATGTGTAGTATCTTATACAGATGTGCCCAGTGAACCACTTGAACCGAACTTGGGAACTTCATCAAGCACTTTCGAGAAAAAAATTGTCGCGAGTCCTGCTGAAAGTTCAGATGAAACAAAAAACAAAGAAAATGAGTCATCGAAAACCTACGAGCTTGTTTTGAAGGATATGTACCACCAGCTTTCCGATAAGACGTTCAAACTTTCGATGACGTTGAGCAGACAAGAAAACTTCTTAGTTATGATGTCGAGGCGAGCCCTGGAAGCAGAATGTGTGAGCATCGTATCGTCAGCACAGGATGCACGACAGTTGAACGTGTCAGGGAGCGCGTGGCGCACTCCTCTCACGACGCTGGTGCATGCGGCACTGAGCAGGTTGCCCACCGTCTTGCCGCGCTACGACAGCCATGATTTCGGTGCGCATTTGATGCTGCCTACGCGCACCACGCACTACGCTCTCATTGGCGACTATCAAGTCGTGCCCAATAATCCGTTCACTCACGATAGATTGTTTCACTTGCCGACAAATGTGGACTTCTTCTCATTTTCTGGCGTGGACTACATTGTAGAGGCTCTCAAGAAACGCGCAGGCAACAAGGACGATGTTACCTGGACATGCTACGTTGCCTGCCCATTTCCAAACGTATGTTATGCAATAAGTTCAGCCTAAGGGAATAGTATACTTAAATAAATGACTACTTTTCTGTCCGCAAGCTTTCATCTCATTCCGCCAATTGTAATGCATACCTTGTACGCTTTAATAATAATCCTTTCTGATGAATATCCCTTTTCTGCAAGCTTTACCCTGCTATGGCTTGAAAAAACTATTTGTCCCAGTGGGTGTACTGACGCTTCCTCTCTCCCTCCGTGACGTAGGTGATGTTCACCCATGCGATCTACGAGGAATGTTTGCGGGACAAATGCACAACTCCCATTAAAATGTACAGCGTGAGGAAGGTTAGTAAATTATAGCCTTACAACTCCCATTAAAATTTTAAAGTGACCATTGAAGTGAAATATTCAATATTGGCAGGATGTGACAGCAACGAGCTGACCTATTGCAGGATGTGACAGTAACGAGCTGACTCATTGCAGGATGTGACAGCAACGAGCTGACCTATTGCAGGATGTGACAGTAACGAGCTGACACACTGCAGGATGTAACAGTAACGAGCTGACTCATTGCAGGATGTGACAGCAACGAGCTGACCTATTGCAGGATGTGACAGTAACGAGCTGACTCATTGCAGGATGTGACAGTAACGAGCTGACCATCATTGCAGGATGTGACAGTAACGAGCTGACTCATTACAGGATGTGACCGTGCGCTCTGTAATGGAAGTCATCACAAGTTTCCTGACGTTGCTGGCATGCAGACTTGGCCCAGGCTGCTACGCGACCATCTTTCCCATCTTCCCTGCCGTCATGATGGCCTTCGAAGACCTGAACTGCCACACCGAACTGCACCTCATCGCCAAGAAGAACCTCAACTCGCAACACATCTTCTTCTGCCGCACCCACTACAGGAAGGAACTCCGTCCCTACGTCGCGCAGTTCAACAAAGCCATCACGGAAGTGTTCAACAAAACACGACATTTGCCCCACATTAATGAAGATGAAGAGTTTTCATTCGTCACGACGCAGCCTCTGATGCAGCAGCAGAATCCTGCTGTTCTCCAAGAGACCCTGGCAGCTTGGATCGCTCGTGTCAATGAGGTCATGCAGAGATCGCAGCCTATGCTTGCAGGTCTGAACAAACTGACACCTGTTTAATGAATTTGAAAAATAGACTAATAGTTATTAATTTTAGCACGATTGTGTCTTAAAACAAATTCATTACATCAAAGGCTTCATAGCAGCAGTTTTTTTACTGCTCAAATATGAGGTATTATCGTGCTAGGTCTTTGTATTTTAGGATTTCTTTGAACCATCTATACATTTTGGTCATTGATTTTCTGAAAACAGCAATAGAAGTTTAAACAATTCTCTGTTTAAGCAATAGAAGTTTAAACGGTCTCTGTTTTTGAACAAATGGTCTTCAAGGAAATACACTGTATTGTCTATTAACCGTCTTTCGCCTTCACAGTGAGTCGCGTCGTTGATTCTGTTGGCCCACCTCGGAACCCGAGCAGACCTGTTCGCTCAGCAGCGCCTAGAGGCTTCCCGCACCCCCGCCATCCTTATCACCCGATGGGAGCACCTTTTGCTGCTCCACCTCCAATGGGCGCATACGGACCAGTCCCAGGCGAATCTCCGTATCCTTCAATGTGTCCGCCGTATCCCTCAATGCATCCACCGTATCGTGCTGCCAGACCGGAATTCGCTTCTGGCGTCCCTCGTGCAGTTGCTCCTCGTTTCCCCCACGGAGCTGGTCCTCGTTTTCTCCACGCACCGGCCCCTGGACTCCCCTCAACCCAAGAGACCGAGAAGGCACCGAGAAGCTCGACGTCTATGATCTCCTACTCGGGAATTTTCGATGTGGCCGCGATGCGAGCTGAGCGTGAAAGCAGGTGAGTTCAAAATATGTCGCGGAGATTACTTCTTGATCGCTTCGGTTGCGATGGAACGATAAACTGCATTTCAAATAACCACTAGGAAAAGTTACCGGCCAATCTTAGTGCCTTGTCTCCTCAACCGAAATTGATTTTTGGTCTCGGATTATTCGTATTTTGGCTTTGTCTTTTTATTGTAACTCTTTCCCTCAAATTGCTAAAGTTGCACAGACATATCGGTTGTGATACGGCGCATGCGCTTGCGCTGCCCGATCTGTCACTGAAATTCAAGGATATATGCTTACCCTCTTGCCTTGGCTACTGCAGTGCAGCGCTCTGATTGGTTGCCGCACTCGTATAATTGCAACGCTCTGATTGGTTGCTTCACTTGCACCTTACTTGCCAATGTTGCCATACAGACGACAGATACATGTGCAAGTAACACCGCTGGTTTTGATAGAAACAATCTATTCTACCTTCTCGGAAAAGGACTGTGAAGTATGCAATACGGAAGATATCTAGTAAACCTTGTCTGAATAAGTCCTGGAATCATTGCACTCGAGATTGTAGCGCGCCTGAAGAAGTCCCTTTTTTAGGTAAGACGGTGAAAAGTGAGAGAATCGAAAAATTTTTCCACGGCTTACGCACCATTAATGATCGCATGAATAGCCTGAGTTGTTGTACAGCAATTTACCATCTACTTGTATGCCCTCAGTGAATCATCCAGCATGGAAGACAAACAAGACAGTAAATCACGCAAGAGGCGCTACTCATCCGTGTCTTCCTCCGCCTCTTCGAATTCCTCTTCATCGCCTTCGTCACGTAAAAAGCGTTCGAGAAAAAGACGACACAGTCCTTCTCCTGAAGGTCGTTCTGGTCGACGACGTAAGTCCTCGAAGCATAAGTCGCGTCGGTCACGACGATCACGACGTCACCGCAGCCGCCACTCCAGACGAGGCTACGACAGCGACAGCAGCAGTGGTTCGTCTGAAGGCAAGATCAGCGACTCGTCTGAAGGCAGTAGCGGCAGTAGTCGCCACTCTCGTGGAGGCAAGAAGAAAGCCAAGTTGCGTAAACACAGGAAGGTTCACAGCGAGAAAGAGGGCACCTCTGATTCCAGTAAAGGAAAGCACGCTAAGAAGTCGAAGTCTTCTACGTCGAAGGATCGAGGAAAGTCGAGGAAGGAGAGCGAGACTAGAGACTCTTCTCCCGACGTTCACTTCTCAGATCTGGTGGCCTGCGTCGAGTCTCTGGTCAAGAAACAGAGTGAAAATCAGACGGTTAGTGCGCGTTTTTTTTAATTTTCGTCCGTTAACAACTTGCAAAGCGTCTTAACTCTGATCTAATTCGATGGTAATGATAATCAGTGTTGATATGTGATTCAAAATGCTTATGTTTTCTGTAAGTTTTGTTTCCAATTCTCGAATGCGTTTGAAGATTCAAACTCAGCTTGACTTGCGAAGATTGTTTTTAAAAGAACGTTGAACCTCTTAGAATCACTGAGGTTTACCGCATAACCGAAATCCTTATTACGTGCAGGGTTCCAGCTCTACTGTGACAAGTGCTGCGTACAGTGCCCCCCTCGGTGAGCCGGTAGCAACCATAGACATCGCACTGACCACCAGCGGCACCCCCCTGCCGCAGATCTGGGTCCTACGCTTGACTTCTGGTTTTGGCATGACCACGCCACCTAAACGCTCCTCTTACGGTGCGTCGCACCGAACACGTTTTTGTTCTGTATTGTGTTCTGTATTGTGCAAGAACACTTAGTTGTTTTCTGTTCTGTATTGTGCAAGAACACTTAGTTGTTTTCTGTTCTGTATTGTGCAAGAACACTTAGTTGTTTTCCTCTCTCACTGTGCTTCTCCATACGTTGCTATATACTCACAGTGGACATGTTTATACCATATTCTCATCGGTGCAGCATCGGTCCAGCATTTTTTTCTCGTTTTGTTCTCATGATCACTCATGTCATCATGAGATTTCCTAGGATGTTGTTATAGCGCTCCAGCGTGGCCTGAGACGGCTACGTCCGCAACACGTATTAAGGTTGTACACGGCTCGATATTTCCTGCAGATACGTGGCTAGTGCGTTGCAGTTGGGAGTTGGAGGACCGAGCAGCTTTCTTGTTACAGCAACTCCAGGGCTACAGACTCATTGATACGCTGCTCTCTACAGAGCTCATTACTCCTCAGCGTAAGAAAACCTCCCATCTTCTTGATTTTTGTAGCGGGGCATTATTTCACCATTAAATGATTAATTAGAAACTTCGCTCTTACATACTAGAGTACAATGTAATTTCTTTTGGTTGCAGTGAATAGTTCGATGTTGCAGGATCGCTTTGAATAATGTTACATATCTGAATAGTTATACATTTCATCTGTAAAAACGCATATGAACTTTGGGACGGCATTGAATAATGAATCATGTCTGAACATATTGACCGCAGCTAGAATAACATTTATTTTTTATTTCTAAGTAATCACTTATTTACAGAGCCAGGAAGCCCAACTGCCGAGAAGGCATCGCTATACCAACGTCTGCTGATGCAATTTGCTTCTGAGTACAACGACAACGCCGTTACCAGGCTCCTTCTCTCGGTGTCCACAGGTAACACGCTCTGCAGACAACATGGGTTGCAAGTAACATACCTTCAGTTAACATACCTTGCAGAGAATCTGTCTTGCAGGTCACACAGAGTAGACTGTCTGCCAGTTTTTAACATTTTGCCAATGGATGAAGGAACAGTTGTCATTGCTATTCATAACTATGTACAGTTCCCCAGAGTTACCGCCAGTAGATTGGTAGCCAACGGTTTGTATCTGAAAACATTAATTATCGATATTATTCGTGACAAGGCCTGGTAACGAGACTTTTCGTCAGTATACAATTGGTTGGTGGAACATATTATTAATATCTCCTGAATTACGCAGCACATGTAACATAATTTCTACTCTCTTAAATCTTCTTTTTAGCGCATTTTCTCATATATGGAAAAAATGCACTATTGTGCTCGCCATGTCCGTCCGTCAGTCTGTCCCTCCGTGACTTCACGTTTTCGTCGACGAGAAAATGCGCTCTCGCTCGCTCACTGCAGTGAGTACTGGGTTATATTTTTTGATTTCTTTGCAGGAAGTAATTCAACCAGTGTTTAAATTCATGCCTAATCAGGATAAGTCTATTTTCCTTTGTTCACAGATATGGACGCAGATTTCTTTTGCGCTTCATGGCAAGACGTGTTCACGGCTGGACTGGAAAATTCTCCGTTAATTGCGGCGAATGCCGTCCGCTCATTAAGGCACCTGAGCTCGAGTGTTGGGGTTAAAATCCTGGTCATCTCACCGGACTCTGAAGCCCTCAAGCACATGAAGCTCATTCTCAAGCCTTCCGTCACTGCAATGTCGGTGTCCATGCTCACTCTCATCGATGATGAACCAATAAGTAAGGCTGCAAATGTCAAGGGCTCATATCCATTGTTTGTTATTTCAATGATATCACCATTCCGCTGACCTATTAGTAAATATTACTTATAAGTAACAACAGAATTGAAATATGAATACTGCAGCAGTATTTGAAGCTTGTAATTGATGCAGGGAAATATCACAGGCTTTAAATATATCATAGCTATGACTGCATTGACTGGTCTATCATATTCCATTTTTTCCGACGAATTTTAGCTTTATCTTACAATATTATTTTAGTTTATCATACGGTGATTCTAGTAGTAAGCTCTTGATTTCAATATGAATTTTTACAATTTTTATTTGCAAAAAAGATACCATACAAACGAAAGTCTGCCAAAACTAAAACAAATGAGCATAAGAGCTTCATGTACCCAGAAAATAGAAATTTGTATCAAGCTCTTGGCCCATACTTTCAAAAAAAGTTAAGATATCGTAAGTTCATCAGCCAATCATTGAAGGCCTTTCAAGCAAAATCCACCAATTATAGACAAGAAAATAGAACGTAAGTACTTACGTTCATTTAGCGAGTTGTGAAAGCATGGCCCCTGGTGATCGTCATGTATGTTTTGCAGTCGGAGAATGCGACGTGGTGCTGGCGACGCTGCACCGCGCGTGTGAGGTCGTCAAGACGCTGCCTGTAGAGCGACTGAGGGCTCTCATCCTGGATAACGCGGCGCTGCTGCTGGGGGCGCCCCTGCACTCCCTCCTCATGAGGCAAACTGTCGTGGAGCTGAAGCGCCTCGTGCTCGACTACCGTCAGTTACCTTTCCCTTACCAGCTGTTTTTATTTGTTTTAATCGTTTATTTGTTCTGATTATATTATCATACCTTTCCTGTTCTAGCCACGCTGTTTTGATCACAGTGTATATGATGAATTATGACTCTACATTTTGCATAATTATTATTTTTTGTATCATGGCGAACACGCTTCAATGTTCAGCTGGGTTTTCAGTGGATACAAATGTTGGTATTTTTCAGGCGGCATAAACAAGGTGGGAGTGGTGAGCAAGATTGACGTGAAGCAGATGACGGTGGCAGAAAGTCTCCTAGAATGCCGCTTCATACGAACTGACCTGAAGCAGCACTTCGTCACCTCTGCCGACCACAATGAGTTGGTTTCTACTTTACGTACTGCACACAGCAGTAGTGGCTACTCTGATAGTGTGACCAGCGGCTACAACTCTGGCACGGCTGCTGCATTACACGCTTCTCCCAGCGGCAGCAGTTACTCCTCTACAAGTGGGCCGAGAGGCTACAATTCTGGCCAGGCAAATGCACCACCTTCGGCTTCCAGCAGCAGTGGATACTCAGCAGGTCTAGCGAGCAGTTACAACTCAGGCTCGACTGCTTACAGTGCAGGGTCCAACCCTTACATCGACAGCAGCCGCGCCGGTGTGAGTGGCAGCCACAACATCGCTGGAGGTGGCAGTGATGGCATGAGATCTGGTGCCACCATCCCTGCACACTCGGGACAATATTCCTCCTCTGGTTCATGGCCACCACCAGCCCGACCTCCTGCCGGTCCATGCCCCTCCTCTGGACAGTATCCCCAAACTAGTCATCGTCCAACACCTGGACAACATCCCCCTGCTCACCAATATCCTCCGACTGGGCAGTATCCTCCTAGTGGACAGTATCGTCCTAGTGGGCAGTATCCTCCTAGTGGACAGTATCGTCCTAGTGGGCAGTATCCACCAACCGGACAGTATCCTCCAACTGGACAATATCCGCCAACTGGACAGTATCCTTCTAGTGGACAGTATCCTGGACAGAATCCTCCATCTGGACAGAATCTTCCAACTGGACGGTATCCTCCTCCCGGACCGTATGCTCCTCCAGGACAGTATCCTCCTCCGGGACAGTATCCCCAGTCTGGATAATATACCAGGTTGGATATTATTCCTGAGAAGTCCATACCCACTACTGGACCATTCCCTGAAATGAGCCTAATTCCCCACCTGTAAAAATCTCCTATTGAATAATATGGAAACCAGCTCATCACTGGCCAATATCCCTTCCCTCTTCCTTACGGGACAGCAACGTGTGTCTAATTTGTTTCCTATGATTTTATCATTAACTTTGAGATGATTAAGTTACTTGGAATAGCTCTTGCTACAAATTCATAACTCATTTATGCCCACTAATTCGTAACTCAATGTACTATCAAAAGGCATTTTCGTATTATATTTGTCCTCTAATTTACACAAATATTAAACGTTTTCTATGAAAATTAGTTTTTAATTTTGATTTAGACCCATTTTTCAGGATTTTGTGATAACTGCGTATATCCTGTTCTCTTTCTATTCTTCATTCCCTCCTTTGCTTATTAGAAAAAAATACGATCTCTGACAGGGATTTTCTCGCCATCAACACCGAGTTAATTCAGAGCATTACAATCTAGGACATTTCATGGAATAAGCTTTAAAACAGTGTGTGATATTAGATGATATTCATCTCTTGGATAATTCAGAGCATTACAATATAGGACTTATTTCATGGAATAAGCTTTAAAACAGTAAGTGATATCAGATCATATTCATCTCTTTGATAATTCAAAGCATTACAATATAGGACTTATTTCATGGAATAAGCTTTAATTATGTGATATTAAATGGGATTCAACTGTGATAATTTGGATGCGGTACGAGAAAGGGTCGCCTTAAGCGCATCAGTGCAAGTGGCTGAGGTCGCTGAGAGCCGCAAGGGGTGAGGTGCCCTGGTAACCAAATGATCCAAGTAATTAAAATGAACAATTTATTATCATACATGTACAGTATATGATAAGTCGGACCGATGGTGCCGAGTTACCACAAGAGTGTCTGCTGACCTCAACGAGGGCTTCATTTGACGGGTACCAGTAGCTGCACTCTGGTAGGACTTACTCAATATCGGATAAGAGGAAAAAGTGCATGTTATGTTATGCATGCTGCCTATAGCTTGGTTGCCGGGTAAGGCTGCCCTCACTTGGGGAAGTGACGCTCCCCCGGACCTAGTCTAACGTCGACGTTGCTCTGAATAGTAGTTGCGCTTCATGAATACTGAAATGGTTAGATGAATGAGAGTAGTCTTATACGAGTATGGATATACTTCGATGAATTCCAGTGCGAATCTAATTATTAAATTCTGCTTTTACACGCGTGAAAAGTCACCGTAATCGAACGTGATAGTTGGATGCTCTAGGCACCATTACTACAGGGTGGAGTGATATATTCATGAATGTAGAGTGCGGTGATCCAAGAGCTGCATTACACACGCGAGCTGCTGCAAGATTGTGAGCAAACTTGCATTATTTGGCGTCATATACAGGGAAGGACTCTCCTGAGTGAGCTTCGAATTATACAGACTTCTTATGGTTTGCAAGTTACGTCAATTGATCTCATTGACGATATCATAATGTAATAGTTGCATATCACAGGAATATGAAGCCTAAAAAATATAAAAATACATAATTGATCATGTTCCCTTTCCATATTCAGTTGCGATTAAGCATACCATTTCGCAAGAAGCTGTAATGATCACAAATTAGATCACTTCAATACTACATGATAGCCGACACCGACCTGCGATCTGTTGATGCTTTTTTTATTGAAAAAAGGTGGTTACCCCGATGGCTCGAGGAAAAGCTCCACATTGAATTAAAAAAAAGTTAGTTTTTAGTTGAGTTAAACTTTACGCCGCCGCGACTCGTGGCGATGGCGCCTCCATCAGACGACGTGCTGTGTTGCTGCGAGTACGTCAGCGCTGACGGGGAGAGGTCTCACTTGCTCGCCAGCTGTTGCAATTGTGAGGCACTGGACCTCGTCTTTGACAGGTCAGTGCAACGCTTCTCATGTGCTATTCAGCACCAACAATATCTACATTATTTGAAGCCTGGATTTACCGTGGAAGCTTCTAGTGTTTCGTTGAATAGTCGCAGTCACAGGAACAAGCAAGACTTAGTCTAAACAGCTATGCACCTTTTGCTATTTACGGGTCATCCTAATGCAGTTAGACCCGCAAAAATACGTATAAACGCCACGGTAAGCAATTGTGTCATATATGGATATAAGACCTACACATTTATTGAGTGTAACAGACTCATTCTCTCTTATGGTAACTAAGTTTTTTTTTTATCTTTTGCCTTCCCGCCAAATTTCAAGCAATGCGGCTCAAAATGTCTATAAAAAACCGCGTGTTTCAAGGCATATATAAAATCCGTGCATTATAGCAAATATCGATAAACCTGTGTAGAATTTTCTCAAAACTGATGGTATAAAGTCTGCTCTTAATAGTTCCGTCTCACACTAACTGTTGAAGCCCGAAATTGTAAAAACTTTTGCTTCTCAGATGCATCCGATGCTCACCCATTGAGTCGAGCCTCGTGGAGCGCCTTCACTCGACAGTGGCCGACAGACTGCGGGTGCCGTGGCCCAGTGGAGCAATCAAAGTTCCTGCTTCTGTTGCCTTCAGCGTTGCCCTGATGCCTTGCTTTATGTTGTTGGCAGCCATTTCTTTGACTGCCACGCTCATCACCTACTGTTTACTCTTACCTTGCGTCGTGTATACCGTCCACAGACATATTAAGGACATTGCTGTGTCTCGTGACCCGCAGCTCTTGAGCAAACAAACGAGACATCGCTCTAAGTTCTACATATCGTTCCTTCTAAGTTCACTTTTTTGGTGCTACTTCTTCTTCATGACTCAAGTTATGAACCATCTCGAAATAAATGCCATAGAGAGCCTCGTTCTTCACGCTCTATGCGGTACTTCCTTAGCGTGCCTTTACATCACCCGGGACCGCAGTGCCCCCCGTCTCAGCCCTCCCGCCGCCGCCGAAGTCGACGTCATAGAGAGCGGCAATGCCTGGCGGCTGTGTGACGAGTGTGTCAAGCAGGTGCCTGCTTTTGCGTCGCATTGTCGCACCTGCAACGCCTGCTTCCTGCACCGGGACCATCATTGTCTGTGGTGAGCAGCCAGGGCTTTACCAGCTCTTAACAAAGCGCTCCCTGTGACATACTCAGCGCAATTGTTATAACATTTTATCAGCGATTCATTTAAGAAATGATTTAAAGTTTCTGGGCATTATTCTATTTTGGCTGTGGAGCGTAGCAACTTCACACAACTACCTCACAGATGCCAATGAAATCTATAACGATCTTCGTGTTTAGCTGCACTCCGCTGTAAAATGTCCTTCAATGCTTCGACTCTTGACTATACTCTTGGTGCCAGGCTCTTAACTACAAATATATTGACGACGGTTAATGCGGCGGTAGACAAAACCTTAATGAGTGTGTAAGACTAGCCAGGTAAGTCGTCATGCATCAGGTTTACTAGCTCAGTCCCGCGCAGCGTCGTGACTTGTGATGCAAATCCCTCATATGTAGATTGCCAGCAGCAATGCACGGATGAAGCACCAATTCATGACCATCTTTAAATTTACGGATTAAAATCTTGAGCGTTCGTTAAAATTTAGCACTAATTTACTAGCGTCCCTGTATGGTGTACGAAGGCGCAAAACATATTTTAATTATCTGTAAAACCAATTTTTTGTCCATATTTTCCACTGTCAATAGTCTAGATTTGATTTAGGTTGTTTTTAGTGTGCATACTAAATTCTATTTCCGAAAATCAGATAAGCATATTAAAAATCAAAAGAAATACACAAATTTCGAATATAGTTAATTTTTTACACGAATGCCGACTTTATTATTTTTTTCCGAATGCCGACTCATTTTTTATGGCTTAACTCTAGGCTTGACTGCTGCATCAGCTCATCCAACGACCGTTGGTTCGTGTGTAGCGTGGCCGTGGGCGGTACGGCGCTCCTATACGCTGCGCTGCTCGCCCTCTCCGTCGTGTGCCGGCCGTACGTGCTGCGTCACTCCTCCCTGCTGCCGCTGCCCCATCTCTGCATATACGTCTACGCTACATGGAAGTGCGTGCCTGCTTCTGAACAAACGTTTGCTTGTCATTTGGTACCTTGGGTGCCTGCTTCTGAACACACGTTAGCTTCTTGTCTGACACCTTGGGTGCCTGCTTCTGAACACACGTTTGCTTGTCATCTGGCGCCCTGAGTGCCTGCTTCTGAACACACGTTTGCTTGTCATTTGGTGCCTTGAGTGCCTGCTTCTGAACACACGTTAGCTTCTTTTCTGACACCTTGGGTGCCTGCTTCTGAACACACGTTAGCTTCTTGTCTGACACCTTGGGTGCCTGCTTCTGAACACACGTTTGCTAGTCATCTGGCGCCCTGAGTGCCTGCTTCTGAACACACGTTTGCTTGTCATTTGGTGCCTTGGGTGCCTGCTTCTGAATACACGTTAGCTTCTTGTCTGACACCTTGGGTGCCTGCTTCTGAACACACGTTTGCTTGTCATCTGGCGCCTTGAGTGCCTGCTTCTGAACACACGTTTGCTTGTCATTTGGTGCCTTGGGTGCCTGCTTCTGAACACACGTTAACTTCTTGTCTGACACCTTGGGTGCCTGCTTCTGACGTTACAATCACGCTACACGTGTATCACATAACACTTATAATTAGGTTACACTTGTAATATGACAAATTAATCACGTATAAAATGTAAGCACGTGTAACAGGTCAGGCTTGTCGACATCAACAGCGTGTTTACTGCTGATGTTGTTCACCGCGTCGTGGCTGCTGCTGGTGCAGCAGGTCGTGTGCATCGCGCGCGGCGTCAGGTTACGCCAGTGGAAGAGAAGTCGTGACACTTCTCGCCTCACGCTGGCCAAAGTCATGCAGAACTGCTTCAACTTTTGGTTCAGGTATAAACGCTTCACTTAATTTGTCCTGTTGTTGGCCTATATTAATCTTGATATGATATTTTGCTCGATTCATTATGTTATGGGATTTTCATTCGTCAACAGATGGAGCAGTCCGCCCGTCACGCGCCGCTCTTGTTGATACGAGAACGTCGCGTACGAGCTTCTCCCGCTTGTTACACATCTAAATGGGCCACCGTAAGCATCTCACCCCATCACCAAATGCTCTCAACCAAATATTTGTATTTTTTAACTTTAGCTTTTCTAACAATCTTTATTTCCTTAGTAAAATCGATAAACTACCAATGAGGGTTTTAACCTCTCCAGTTCAGGAACCACCGACCTAAGACGTCGTCGTTTGGACGAAGAGAGGCGAGCCACGAGGAGCCGAAGAAGTTAGGGTGGTTATAGCCTTATTATAATTACGTAAGCGTGCATTTGTTTATTTTTAAATATGTCATTTATTTGCTCGAATCACACATTAAGCAATAATATGAATGCTATGAAAGCGATAAGAAAGCTCGCCATATTTTCTTGGCTAGGATATTCTAAGTTGATTGAAATTGTTGTGTACATTGCTTGAAGAGGGCGGACTATCTCCCTGCTTCATGGGTGGAAATGAGCATTATGGATTTATCTATAATGCAATAAACTTCGCGTGATACAAGTTAGAATTTAACACCAAATACTAATGAATCTTATGTTTGCTCGTTAATTGTTTATTACATGATTCTCATTCAAATTGTGTTTCATTTACTGCATTTGTTTGAATTCATGAAATGTTAGAATTTGTTGGCATTGAATTGGCTTTTTCTCATATGCTTTAGAGGCTTAGATGATAATGAGACAATCTTCTATTTTGTAATTTTCATTCATGCATATTTTAACTATAATATTTGGATCAACTTATAATTTTTTTTTTTCCTTATATGAGATTACGGATTTTAGTCCATCGCCGTAATGTTTGAAAAGAAACTTTAAGAATTTACTCATGAAAAATAACAGATGTAAATTACCTTCTATAACCTGTTTTTGTAAATTTGGAATCCCGTATAAACATTTTCGGGTGGCTTAGTGAGTCGTAGGTTCGACCCCAACTGCCAGCTCCAGTTCTAGTAAAATCAGCGGGGTGGTCGAGCGTTAAGCACAGCAAAATTGGAGCAGTGAGCTGCGTGTTCGAGACACGCAAATAGCTGTGATTATTCTGCAATGTTACGAATCGGCGACAGGTCTAACGGCCTAATACACGCAGCCACTGCTATACTGTACCACACAAGTTCTGAGCGCTGAGTTTATTATTGTTTATGTCGTAAGATTACTTGAGCTATTTCGTTCACTCTGTTAACTCTTTAAAATTTATTCACTTTTAATATACTGAAAAATTCCTAAATGTAAGTTCTTAAAAACACTCAAGCACGTGAATATTTTTAGCATTTAACTCGTGTTTATTATAATTTCGAGAGATATTGGGCACGATTAGCATTTATAATTCTTCGACGTTTGATATTTGTAAGTCAAACAAAGCTCATTAATTGATCTGTTATCATCATATGCACCCAAGTGACGTCTAAAACTAAAAGAAGCTCATACTTTTTATTTGTATGTGGGGTGTAATGACCGTGAAAATGACATTCAGTAGTAGAGCTTTTTTATCAGCTAGCTGCCATATATCACATATTCATTTATGTAAGTAGGAGAAATAGAAAAGAAAGTTAGACAGGAGCAACATTAGATAGAAGCAAAAAGCGGTGGGAATATTCATGTTGAGGGTAAGATGAAAACCGTGGAAAGAGAAATTAAATAGGAAAGTTATGTGGTTTATTATTATTATGTCCATTTTATCGCAATTTAGTTGTTAATGTTCATATCAGATATTGGTCTCGCTTAGGCAGTAAATAATTATTTGTTCATTTTCATATTTTATTGTTACTTGTTGTATTATTGTATTATTGTTATTGTTTGTATTGTGTATTGTTTATTGTTTCTTTACGTCCCTCCGACCTTCATTCTCACCAACCTCTCCCTCACTTTCCATGCACTTACCAAATATCTTGTTCTATTCTCGGTCATGGCAACAATTACGAGAGAGTCAGCTGCGTTCATCGAGTGAACATCTCTAGTGTCTATCTCCCTTGATTGCGTAAAGTTAACCGGCAAATAATAATTGATAATTCACGTTTAACTTGATCTTGGACTATACTTCTATATATACCTCGAGTATATTTAGTGAGGGTCCTGTCCAGAGTCAAGAACCCGGCTGGCTTTCTCGCCCCTCCCCCCTCCTCTTCTCTCCATGAGAAGAGGTAGGAGTAGGTT